TTAAATCTATAAACAAGTCATGTCAAATGTAATCTAAAAGTAATCCAAATGTAGTCAGAATACATTACCTAAAATGAGTAATCTCGATTACACTACTGACTACAATTTTTAACATGTAACCAGTAACAGACTACAATGTGTAAGTAATCTCCCCAGCACTCTCTCTTACATATGGTTTTGGCTTGTATTTTTTCAGATGGCATGCTTAACAGACCACATGGAGCAACTGAGGGACAAAAAACTCATGATTATTCACCCGACGGCGGACGGTAACCCTTGATTTAAACAAAGCTTCTTGTGCTTAACTTCTTTATTTCTTAAACACATGCTTTTCTTTCATTTGTTTAACTGACACTGTGTAAAATGTCTTTCTGTTCACACAGAGAAAGTCCATTTTCAGCACACGGCCAAATTTATCACCCATCTGATAAATGAGAAAGCTAATTATACACTACAGGTAAGAGCTGATCAGCTGCTATTTAAGCTCTCAGCTATTGACACTTACATTTCTGCATTATGTAACATCTTTTTAGTGGTGTTTGTTGCATCAAGTGTCACAGTTACTGTTACATATACTAAGGGTTTGTGGTTTGGGCAAGACACTAATTAATTATTACATTATAACTGGTTCTGTTCCATTTGTGCTGTAGACTTGAATGACACCTCAAATCATGTGACTCAGTGAGGAGAGATGTGATATTTTTACTCACTTCCTCACAACAACTTAGCAACTGCATAGCGACATACTAAAACACTCAGACACCCTAGCAACATGCTAAAAACACTCAGACACCCTAGCAACCACATAGCAACATGCTAAAACACTCAGACACACTTAGCAACATGCAAAACATTCAGACATCCTTAACAACCACATAGCAACATGCTAAAACACTCAAACACCCTTAACAACCACATAGCAACAAGCAAAAAACACTCAAGATACCCTAGCAACGTACAAAAAAACACTCAGATACCCTAGCAACATGCAAAAAAAACACTCAGACACCCTTAGCAACATGCTAAAAACACTCAGACACCCTTAGCAACATGCAAAACATTCAGACATCCTTAACAACCACATAGCAACATGCTAAAAGCACTCAGACACCATAACATCATGCAAAAAACAGTCAGACACCCTTAATTACTACATAAGGACATGCTAAAAACACTCAGACACCATTAGCAACATTCTAAAAACACTCAGACACCCTTAGCAACATGCAAAACATTCAGACCCCCTAGCAACCACATAGCAACATGCTAAAAACACTCGGACACCCTAGCAACATGCAAAAAAAAAACACTTAGACACCCTAGCAACAAGCTAAAAACACTCAGACACCCTTAGCAACATGCAAAACATTCAGACATCCTTAACAACCACATAGCAACATGCTAAAAGCACTCAGACACCATAACATCATGCAAAAAACAGTCAGACACCCTTAATTACTACATAGGGACATGCTAAAAACACTCAGACACCATTAATGACATGCAAAAAAAGAAACACTCAAGCACTATTAGCAACCACATAGCAACATGCTAAAACACTCAGACACCCTAGCAACCACATAGCAACATGCTAAAACACTCAGACACCCTAGCAACCACATAGCAACATGCTAAAACACTCAGACACCCTAGCAACCACACAGCAACATGCTAAAACACTCAGACACCCTAGCAACCACACAGTCAAATGCCAAAAAAACACTCAAAAATAAGTAATGAATATTGAACTGTTATGTTGATGTATATGACAGATTTCTGAATAAAACAGGATATTCTCTCTCTCTCTCTCTCTATATATATACAGTGTTGGGGGTAACGCATTAATATTGTAATGCATTACTTTTAAAAGTAACTTTCCCCAATATATATATATATATATGTGATACACACACACATTCAGAAATCAGTCACATTAGTGTAGTAAAATGATTGGTACTTGACTGAATGAGTTTTGTTTGTCTGTCAGATCTACCCAGATGAAGGCCACTTCCTTCACTCGAGAGACTCGCAGCTACATCTGAGTCAATCGCTGGTCAACTTCTTCGTGGAGTGTTTCAGACCCCCAGAGATACCGACTGAAGATAAAGTGGAGCAGGACAACGAGGATGATGGTTAAAGTTCTACTCAGATCCAGCACAAGCCAGCTTACAGCCCAATATGCAAACTCCTCCT